TATATACTTCTAGACTATATTACTAAGTAGGAGCTATAGAAGGGATAGGAAGACTATGCTGATTTTTAACAACAGTAGATTAGTATAATCAAGGTCTAGTAGTATATTTAAAAGAATTAGTAGTATATCGATAAAGTACACTAAAAGGCGACCGCGCTATAGGGTATATAAGACGCTGAGGCCTTCTTTAGATATATTATATCAAAGTTGACAGCTAAGCTAGCTAGCAAATTAATCATAGTAAAAATAAACTACTAGGATATAAGGCTTACTATTAATAACGAGGTTGCCTAACACGTTTCTTCCTCTAGGAGTGGGGTCTAGAAGAATCGTAAGTATATTAAGCCGATCGATATACAGTAGGCCTACTCTAGGCTATATAGTAAGTCGATAACCCTACTCTATACAAAGGATCTCTAAGATCATAGTCTTTAGATTAATACTAATAGGTTCTATTATACAGCTGGGAGTAGAAGGGATCTTAAAGAGGTCGGCGATATATCAATCAGTGGGTATAGTAGCTAGCAGCCTAGGCAGCCAGTACCGCTGCTAAGTACCCTAGGATTCGATATAAGTAAGGTTTAATAGGAAGGGGGAGGGGGTAGGTAGGATAGGCCCCTAGCCATTCTACTAAGTAATAATACCATAGCCATTCTGCCAAGTAACAATACTATAGCCATTCTACCAAGTAATAATACTGTAGCCATCCTACCAAGTAATAATACTGTGGTAGTAGTAATAATAAGCCAGCCTACCAATAGGACGTATGGCTGCTATATAGCAGAGATAACAATAGATAAGTATACGATAATTGTAAAAGATAGTATATAGAAGGAGAGGGAGGCCCTAGTTACCTTTAGGAAAATTATAAAACTAGTTAATAGAGAGTTTGGTACCGGTTATATCTATTTCAAATATACCAAAGGGATTATTAATATACTAGGTATATAAGGCGGTAGTAAGAGCCCTTAGGAGTTAGTAGAACGAATCTAATTCAGTTACCACTATCTTGGTCAATAGGATGAGTTTCGGAGGAAGTTCTCTAGCTAGTTTATACTAGGCCTAGATCCTAGAAACCTAAAGGAAATATATGGTATCTATGAATTTAATCTGAAACCTATACTCCTAGTAGTCGCGTTATTTAATGCTATATACTAGCTTTTATTTAAGAGTATTTATAGAAGGGTTATACCTAGATACTAATTTCGGCCTAATATTATCTATACCTAAATGACTATAGACAGTAGTATAGTACTACCACAGCTACTTAGGTAGCTAAAGGAGGACTTTAATAGTACCTACCCCAGTGGAATTCTATTACTAATCTACTAAGAATTCGATATATATAAGCACCATTTTAGTAAGTATTATAGGCACTGCCTCGGCTGGCTACAGAGTATATAGTATAGCCTAATATAGTAACTAATCTAATAAGACCTAGTATACTATACCTATTATATCTTCTTTCGGCCGGACCACTAATAGAAATTAATTGTATTTCTATACTATATAAAGAGTATACTACCTGGTAAGAGAATATCGTTCTAATATATCGATATTAATATTAGGGAGTTTATAGCTACTAGTAGGGGTAGCAATATCCTATAAGGATCAGTCTCCCTTAATAATAAAGATAACAGTAATTGTACTGTTATTCTACTAGGGATATAATACTATATTGCTTCTTAGTAGAAAGACCTATAAATTCGCGCAGAGGACCTAGAAAATCTATCTAGCCGAAAGCTATTTAAGGTCCCTAATAGCTTTATCTATAGGATTACCCTAAAGATATAGCGACTAGAGGATATAGCTTAGTACCAAATAAACTAGAAAAAGTAAGTCTATAAGGTAGGTAACGTCTACCTATCCCTTCCTACCCTTCCCTACAGCTCTATAGGACTAGTAACTAGATAGAGGAGGACCATCTTACTATAGTTTATAGGTATTAGGGATGACCACTTAACACTTAATATACCTAAGTCTAGTTCCTAGGAGGAGGTATCGGCTGTATACAGAGACCTCCTTAACGCCGCTAGGATACCCTCTGGACTAATAAGTCGGTAATATATATATGTCCTATATACCTTCCCTACTACTACCTACTTCTATACTACCTCTACTATTTTAGAATACCTAGTAGGGCGGTCTAAGTGGATAACGCTAGCTACCACAAAGGACCTTAATATACTCTTTAGGCCTAATAAGGCCGCTGTAGTAATATATATTTAGAATTAGAGGTAAGAGGCATAGCTAGAGTACACTCGCCTATTTAAGCTAACTGTTAAGGCTAAAAAGGATACCTATAGGAAGAACTCATTCTTTTAGAGATATAAGAGAGGCCTTCTTAATAATAGCGATACCGGCAGTAGTGATATTAATAGCGGTAATACTAATGGTAGTAATACTAATAGTAGTAATACTAATAGCGGTAATACTAATAGCGGTAATAGCGATAATAATAACGATAATAGTAGCGATAATTAGCCTAATGATAATATCGGCATCGATATTAAGATAGGTAAGGGGGAGGAGGAGAGTAGTAAGGCTAATAAAGAATTTAAGGAGGTTGATAATTAAGGCTATATCAGTAAATTTCAATAGGCACTAGACATATCACTAGATATATCTTTTTTTTTATAGATAAATGTAACTATAACAATTTCTTTTATAATGATACTTCTACCTCGCCGCTACTACTTATAGTTTTTTCGCCTAAAAAACCAGTTACCAGTTTTTTGGGCGAAAAAAACTCTTAGTCTAAGAAGTACTTCGCTACTACTACTCAGTTTTTTCACCCGAAAAACTAGTTACTAGTTTTTCGGGCAAAAACCCTTAGTCTAAGAAGTAGTTTACTTTTATACTTCTATTTCGCTACTACCACTCAAAGTTTTTTAGGCAAAAAACTAGTTACTAGTTTTTTAGGTAAAAAACTCTTAGCCTAAGAAGTAGTTTACTTTTATACTTCTATTTTGCTACTGCCACTTAAAGTTTTTCGGGCAAAAAACTAGTTACTAGTTTTTTAGACGAAAAACTCTTGGCCTAAGAAGTAGTTTACTTTCATACTTCTATTTCACTACTACCACTCAAAGTTTTTCAGGCAAAAAACTAGTTACTAGTTTTTCAGGCGAAAAAACTCTTAGTCCAAAAAGTATGTAGTAGTATATATTCTCATAATTTCCATTGGCTATCTATGGTATAATGGGCCCCTGGCTAGTAGGATCCACGTAGATAAGTTTTTTCTTAGATTATAGGGCCCTCGGCCTTTTTAGGATTCTTAGCCTATATCGCGTAGCCTATATAGCCTATCTAGATTAGGCTAAGTAACTAGCTAATAGGGTAATCTTCAATCTTCCTTATCTAGTTACAATAGAATTAGTCTTTTATTATATATACCTATCCTTCCTATTTATATATACTCTATACCGCTCCCTCACTACTCCCCTCCTATATACTGCCCCCCTACTTTCTACCGCTATTCTAGGTACTATATCCCGAAGTACCTAATCTAATAGGGATATAGATATAACCTATAGCATAGGCTACATCCCCTCCTCTCCCTAGACCTCTTAGGCAGAGTCCTCTTATACCCTATCTTCCTTCAGCCTACTACCTAGTAGCTAAGCCGAGCCCTTTAATACTAAGCCTAATCGCCCCCTAGTCTCTAGAGACCCCCTATCCTACTTTACGCGCATTAATCCTAACCGGAGAAAGGACTATATCCTATATAATAAAATAGTAAATAAGATATAGATTAAATAGTAGCTATAAACAGACTATAGGCAGAAAGGCAGTATCTACTAGGATATAAATCACAGCTCCCCTATATAATAAGACTTCCACTAGGTTACCTACAGTAGAGATAGGATACCAAAGGTTTAGTATAAGTTCTACCACAGTATTTTAGAATACCTAAACTTTCTGAGTAGTAGAAAGGGCCGTAACGGCTTATCGACTATATCGAGGTACCTAAAGATATAGGCCTACCTTAGGGCCTAAGATATAAAGAGGGCAAGAAGAGGAATTAGCCAATTTTTTCTAAAAGGAGTATATTTTTAACTACCTAATCCTTAGCTTAATATTTTACTAATATATCTAGGCCGATAGGACTACGTACCCCCCTAAGGCCTAATATTCAGAGGCTGCCTAGGATAAGGCCCTACTCCAATTTATTACTATAGGTCGACTATCCTTCTCCCTTATTAAGAGCAAGTCCTTTCGGCATCTCTTCCAAATAGCCCATATAGCACTATCCCTTCCCCAAATACCTTCTGCCATAATAATATACCGGCGCCTACACAATTATATTTAAGAGAGCGTAGGCTTAGCGCTCAGGATACTACCAAAGGATATAAAAATCTCAATTACATTAGACTACTAGACGTCCCTATATAACTAGGGATTCATAGTAATTACTAGCTACTTTATCGATAGTAGCTAGGTATATCGTAAGGTTCTACTTAGGTTTAAGCCACTTTACCAGGTATATACTAGAAAGTATCTTAGTACTATCTTTCTTAAAACCCTAGCCAGGTATAAGATTATAGACCGGGTATTTAGAATCACGACTAATAATACTTCTAATAATATAACGCTAGTTAAGGCTACCTAGATAGGGCTCCTAAGCGGTATACAGGTATTCTAAATACCCTACCTTACCTATATTATCTAGCTCTCTCTTAACCAGCTCCTAGGTTACCTATAGGCTATACTAAAAAATAACATTATTAAGTCAATTTAGACTAATAAGAATTTAAAGAATATAAAAGAAAATGGTAATTATCAGAAATAGGCAATCTCAAAGATACTAAAAAAGATCTATAATCTTACCCTCTATATCTATGCTAGCCCAAAGTACCAGGCTGCCTTTCTCCGACTATAAGAAGAGAAGGGGCCATACCTTATTCTAATCTAGGATATAGTAACCCGGTAGAACTCAACCTTTTTAATACTTCGCTGGGTAAAAAGAATACGCCTATTCTTTATATCCTTCTATACTAATTATGATTATAAGGAGATACTTCCTAGTGATTCAGAATGGCGTTAAATTGACTACCTTCTATAAATTACCTAGCCTTTCTATGACTATATAATAGAACTCTTAAAGATAAAGGAAGTAACTACCTACCTTACCTTTAAGATTTATAATACCCTCTTTAATCACTTCAACCAGGCAGAGGCACTACTAAAACAGAAGTATACTCTGTAGAAGTCAGAAATACTAAGTACACTTATTACTAGCCATAAAAAGCTGAGTAAGTACTATATATAAACGACCGGTTATAAAGGAGACCTCTTTACTATTAGGATAATACTAGCCCCTAATAGTCGACTTTAATTCTTCCAATCAGATGGCCGCTAGGAGCCTAAGTAGTATAATAAATACCAGAAATCCTTCTAAGATATATTAGCGCCCTATCGAGAATACCTTACTTTAGGCTAGGGGTCAGCTAATATACTAGCTATAATACCGGCTAGCTCTAGGCTACGTAGGCTACTAAAGAGTAAGCAGAAGTCTATAAGACCAGCTATTAATAAGGTAGCCTAGTACCTTAATAGCAGTATATAATACCTTAGTCTCCCCTACTATTTTACTATACTATACTAACCACTCTTTACCTTAGACCTTATTAATACTGAGCCTCTGCAATTCTAGTAGGAGAATAAAACTCGTTTTCCTACAATTACACAACTTACCCGCGATATCCTCTTAATACTAGCAACTGGGGCTAGTATTAAGCGACTCTTTAATACTACGCGGGATATTTGCTATTATTACCGCGGTCGCCTGAAGTCTAAGACAATTAAGGAGCTTATACTCTACCGCTATATAACTAAGTTTAGTATTAAGGATACTAAGATAAAGGAATTACAGCAGTTACTTAGTCTAGCAGAGGCTAAGGTTAAGAAGGAGGAGAGTGCTAACTTTCTAGAAGATAGTAAGTATAATCTAATTAGTAATAATAAGGAGGAGGAGGAGGAGGGGGGGGGGAAAGTAATAGGATATAGGAGGTATCTCCTTTCTCCCTAACCGGTAGGGATAGAGGTAGTAATAGCGATAGTAAGATAGAGGGGTTTCAGCTAGATTTACTAGAGCCTACTACTCTATTTCATATATCTCGGAGGAAGTGTAAGAGTAGGGTCGACGATAATTATATGTATTATTAGAATATATTAATAGTACTGTCTTCTCAATTTTTACTACCTTCTTTGAATTTTCCTGGTATTCCTACTATAACTAGGATACGCAATAATATGGGTCGGAAATGCATTAGTTATATATCCGTGCGCCAGAGGCCTATTTATATTATATAAGGCCCATATAGGCCCCCCATCGTAGGCTATAGGCCTAGGGTATCGGCCTATAATTTAGCGTGGGCTGAAGAAGTGAGCCCAAAGCCCAGCCCATTGGTAGGCTGGGCTGGGCTGGGCTATAGGCCAGGTAGGCTTTGCCGATATCTAGGCAGAACTAGGTATAATGCTTTATAAGGCACTCTTGAGGGGTCAAATGCATAGTGTTTAAACAGATAAATAGCTAGGCGGTCAAGTGTCAGGTCAAAGATGAGATCAAAGTATATATCATGGGATGAAATAGTCAATTTGTCTAACTAACATTCAGTATAATTTGGGGCTTTCTTTATAGCAATCAAATATCGCGGATAACTCGGTAAATCAAAGATCAGATGATTCATGACCTTTCTTTAGATGAATCATGACTTTCTTCAGATGTAATAAAGTAAGCAATCAATGATATCATCAATTATATCATTAAAACAGGAATATATATATTCCAATAGTAGGTAAAAGTAAGTTCTCTAAGAACTCTCCTTCCTTAGGTATATAGTCTAATTAGTAACTAGGTATATTAGTAGGATTTAAGGTTCCTAAGTAGTACTTAATAATAAAGTTAAATATAGTAAGCTTCTCTATCTACCTTACCTAATACCTAGTTAACTCCTTTATAGTTATAAAGTATTATAGGTTAGTATAATTAGATAGTACTAATATAGGGAATTTACTACCCTTAAGATAGTATCTCTAATACTTAAATAACTTAATAATTATAAGTAGTTCTAAATTATATATTTTATAGTATATTTTAGTACTAATTATCTTTCTAGACTAGAAAGTAATTAGGTATTAGTAACCCTTAGAATCTAGCTATATAGTAATTACTACTATAGTAAATCCTAAAGTATCTAGCTTAATTTATATAGGCTTCTCTAGGTTAAAGTAGAATAATATAGATATACTTAAGAAGTATTTCTTTATTTCTTTAAAAGCTACCTTTACTTTAGGTATAAAGATAAAGCCTTACTTTTAATAATTTATACCCTTCTTCTTTAGAGTACCCTTTATTAACTTAGATAGGGGTATAGCGATATATAAGTAATTCTTAATAAATTACTAGTAAAAATTACTAAAGCTAATAAATTATTATATATTATATAAGTATTATAGTTCTAGCTATTCTAAGATAGTATAAATCCTCTCTAGCTCTATAGATATACCCTTAGGTATAATAAGGAAGCTAAGGAAAGCTACTAACTTTATATAAAAGGTATATTTTAATATTTTTATATATAACTTATATATATATAGTCTATCTAGTACCTTATATATATTATATATATACTACTCCTTAGTTTATAAATAAATAAGGATATTATTAAGGTATATAATATAGTAGATATTAAGTAGATTACTTAATACTCTATTAATATATAACTAGAATATTATAGATATATTTACTAATCTAAATAGTATAACTATATACTTAAAATAACTATATTAGGTCTAGAATATAGTTTTCTATTTATTACCCTTATAAATTTAGATATAATAATATATATCTTTTAAATTAAGCTATATAAAGATCTTTATATTAGATAGCTAATCTATAGTCTTACTAATTAGCGGTAGAGGATACTAATTCTTAAGAGTTAATATATTAAGTCCCTAGTAATCTATATATAGATATAACCCTCTATCCTTCTTTAGTATAAATAAAATAGGTATACCTACTAGGCTCTATAATAGCCTAATCTAGCCCTTCTTAATATATTCTTTAATATAATCTCGAAGTACTATAAGTTCTATCTTAGAAAGGGGGTAGATTAGCTTATAGGGAATTTATTTACCTACTTCTATCTTAATAGTATAGTTATATTTATTACTTTCTAGTAATTTCCCTATCTCTTTAGGATTAAAGATATTAGCCTAGTCTAAATATTAGATAGGTAAAGCTTTCTCTATATCCTATACTATAGTAAAGAGTAGGATAGGCTTACCTTTTATAATTAGATAAGGATATACTATAAGTATAAGGGCCCTATAGAGGATCTCTTATATAAAGGCCGCTATAGTTATCTTTTCAATCTTCTTACTAGATAGGCGATAATACTATACCTGGTTTTTCTAATTAATATTAGGATTAATAGATTTTAGCTAGTTATAGCCGATAATTATATCATAACCTATTATCTTAACTACTTTATAGGAGAGTATATGGTTATATACTATACCCCTACTATCTCGCAGCTCGCTATTTAGCTTATAGGAGCTAGACATCGGCAAAGCCTAGTATAGGCCGAAGATTTCGGCCTACGGCCTAACCCCTATGGGCTATGGGCCTAGGGGAGCTGGGCCCAGCCCAGCCTATAGCCCAGTGGGCTAAGCCTATAAGCCTACTGGTAGCCCATTTAGGCCCATTTTTATATAAATAATAGGTCTTGGCATATATAAGGGGGATTATATAAGATTATTAAATTACAGTTTTTTATCGCTTGTTTTAGTCTGGTCATTCTAATAAAAAACATACTAATTTGTCCATAAATATTAATAAAGCCATTCCTAGATTACCTAACCAATTCATCTGGTCTTCCCGCAATACACCGATTTATCCATAAACGTCAAAAATGAAGCTATTCCCAGATTACCTTACTAATTCGTCCTATCTGTATATAAATATAAATTCATCTAGTCTTCCTGTAATATGCCGATTTGTCCACAAACGTCAAAAATGAAGCTATTCCCAGATTACCTTACCAATTCATCCCATCTGTGTACAAATGCAAATTCATCCCATCTGTGTACAAATGTAAATTCATCCCATCTGTATATAAATGCAAATTCATCCCATCTGTGTACAAATGTAAATTCGTCCCATCTATATACAAATGTAAATTCGTCCGATCTGTGTACAAATGCAAATTCATCTGGTCTTCCCGCAACATGCCGATTTGTCCACAAACGTCAAAAATGAAGCTATTCCGAGATTACCTGACCAATTTATCTGATCTGTATATAAATGCTAATATATCTAATTGATTTGTTTGCTCAATTGGTCTGATCAATTTGTTTGCTTAATTTGTTTGCTTAATTAGTCTGATTAATTAGTTTCATCTGAAATTCAACTATGGGTTTGTGCAGCATTTCGGTAAGCTGCAGAGTTTTCACCCCAACAATCTATAGGCTTTGGTCCCAACTCCTTCGTATAATTACACCACAACTAGTAATAAATTACGGTCGCATTTAATTAATTAGATACTCTCTACTATCTAGCATTTAAATACTGTTTTTAGAATTAAATTATCTCAATTATTGGTGGTGGTTGAATTGATCAGACGAATTTGCATTTGTATACAGCATTTGTACACAGATGGGATGAATTTGCATTTGTATACAGATGGGATGAATTTGCATTTATATATAGATGGGATGAATTTACATTTGTACACAGATGGGATGAATTTGCATTTGTATACAGATGGGATGAATTTGCATTTGTACACAGATGGGACGAATTTGCATTTGTACACAGATGGGACGAATTTGCATTTGTACATAGATGGGACGAATTGGTAAGGTAATCTCGGAATGGCTTCATTTTTGACGTTTGTGGACGAATCGGCATGTTGCGGGAAGACCAGATGAATTGGTCAGGTGATCTGGGAATAGCTTCATTTTTGACGTTTATGGACGAATCGGCATGTTGCGGGAAGACCAGATGAATTTGTATTTGTACACAGATCGGACGAATTTGCATTTATATACAGATGGGATGAATTTGCATTTGTATATAGATTGGACGAATTTGCATTTGTACGTAGATCAGACGAATTGTCGAATGTTTGTAGATAGATCATTGGTATGGTAGAAATATATATATCAGAACATTGCAGAGATATATAATTGAATATACATTGGTATACTAGGCATATGCTTGGCATATGTATGAATTATAATTGGACGAGAGCGCTGTAATGAGAATACAGGCCTAAAATTGCATTAATTATATAGGCAGATTACTGTATTATATAAGGCCTATATAGGCCCCCCATTGTGGGCTATAGGCCCAGGGTATCAGCCCATAATTTAGTGTAGGCCGAAGAAGTGAGCCTAAAGCCCAGCCTATTGGTGGGCTGGGCTAGGCTGGGCTATGGGCTGGGTAGGCTTTGCCGATATCTAATAGGAGCTATAGGAGTAGACTATATAACTATCTATAGCTATAATAGGTTTCAGAGGGCCTATATCTATATATAGAAGGTACTGTTTAACCTAGTTCTAACTAATAAAGGTTTTCTTAGCCCTACTATCTATTAGTATCTATATAGTTCGCTCCCTATTATTAGTTTTAATACTAACTTTATAAGTAAAAGTAAGTTCTAATTCTTACTTAATACCGTTAAGCCCTAATACTACCGATACTATAAGCGCTAGGGTACTTAGTTTTTTAACTATAAATCCCCCTTAGTTTCTTTATAGGTATCTACGTAGTAACCTAGTTTTCTATACTTAAAGTAGCTATTATAAGGGATACTATTAGGGTTTATTTTTTATTTATTATACTTATATTTCTTATTAGGTTTTTTACCCTACTTATCCTTACCTTTATTTTTAGACTTATCCTTACGTTTCTTTGTACCTAATATAAACGAGGTATAAGAGCTAAGACTAGTATCTAGGCTTAGATCTATTTTAGTAGTGTTATTCTTACTACTACTAGTACTTTTCTCTTTCTATATATAA